ACAGGGCGGCCGCAGAGCGAAAATAGGGGTCGAGCCCGTAGCCTTTATAGGGATATATATATATATATATCTCTCTCTACCTCTCATTCTCTCTCTCTCTCTCTCTCTCTCTTTTTCTTTCTTGATTTATATATATATATAGTAGACAAGAAAATAATAATCGGTGCAATATATCAAAGACATGAATATGGAAAGCCTACAAAAGCTATGCGGCAATATATACTTATGCGAAATAGTACGTAAAGAATACTAAGCAATCGTGGCCCACGGCTTGCAAGCTACACTCAAATTCCGGCAGGCCCTACAGATAAGCCCATATAACTCATGACCTACGTGACAATTCATCACGAATGTCATTTAGAAAGGCATTATGACGACCCGGATCTTATCCCCACCATCATGGTTAGAGGATCTACGTCTCCTCCTGCTCCTGGATTTGCTCGAATCCCTGTTCCTGGGGGGGACCTCCCCTATTTTGCGGCCTTCTTGGATTCTTTATTTTTCTTTTCTTGTCCTCTTCCTTTCTCCGATCCCTTTTTTCTCAATGGTTCCTTTTTCTTTTGCTCCTGGATATCAATTGAATCAGAATTTTCTTATTCTTGGATCCCTTTCCTCTTCTAATCCAACCGTTCCTTTTCCAGGCGCTGCAGCTCAGCCTCAGCCAGCCTATGGCCACGGAGGGGATGATGCGCTTTCAAATGGCAGTACAAAGTAGTTCAGCCCTCGCTCCTTCACGCCAATAGATCTCATAGAACGATCCTTCATCTGTATGGCGCCGAAGCGGCTTTACCGCAACCTTGCCTCCTCCCCTCCTCCCTTCCTCCCTGTCCTTCATCTCCTCCCTTCTTTCTCCTTCTTATCTCCTTCCTCGTGGCATCTGATCCTCATCTCTTCCTCCTCCGGCTCCTCTGTTCGTTTTGTTCCCGACATCTGGGTCCGTTAAAAATTAAAATATTTTGGACCAATTGGACTTTGAGCTTTAAGCCTATCGGGGAAGTATTGAGTGAACTTTATATTTTCTCAATGTTATGGGTTTCTTGGGTGGGTGGGATTTTTTTCCAACGCTTGACGAGCTGCTTGACTAGTGAATGCTCGGACTTGAGATGCTAAACCCTAAACCCTAAACCCTAAACCCTAAACCCTAAACCCTAAACCCTAAACCCTAAATAAACCCTAAACCCAAGAAAATATTTCCAGAACAATTTTTGCCTCAATTATTTCCGTCGGTTGTTCCATTGCATGGGCCAGCTGTCTTATAATTCTTCTTGCATCGGTGGGTTGTTGTTCCACGTTGTCTTTGGTTGGCACCCGGTTGCACTAATCTTCATGTCGTCTGTGCACGTCGGTCGTGGGTCATTTTACTTCAGCTTCCTGCAAATCTCCTGAACATGCCTCCGACCCTTTTCATGAAAATTCCGAGTCTTGTTGCGGGAGCCTCCTCGTGATGACTCACCATGAGAATTTGGCGAAAGTTCAAATTCGCCTGCATGGTCCTGCATAATATTGCCGAGACTGTAATTCACTTCTTTTTTTAAGACGGATTGGGAGGGATTGGTTTCGCGATGGTGTGGGCAGAGTGAACCGCGGCAGCCCTGTGCAACACTACCCAGATCCAGATGTGAAGCAACAGCACGTAGCCTCACCAGCGGCCAACGACTGCATTGACGTGTCAACTTCTGTGAGGAAGCTTGCCGACGGAACAGCGCTGGGAACCAGACCATAAAATATTCGTCTGGTGGTCGGACTTGCAAACAGCAGCCTTGCAGAAGCATAATGGAGAACAGGTGCTCTTCTCGAAAGCAACGTTTGTGGAGCACTGGGTCTTCCGACTTGCTGAAGCGCTTGAGAACAACATCGCCATCAGCAAAAAATGCCTCCAATCAGTTCAAGATTGCCCCGCAAAATGCAAAGCTGCGGGTGCTCTCTTCCGGCCTTTACAGCTCCACCAGCACCTGCATGGAAATCATCTTCGAAATGGCGGCGCTTTGATCATGAATATGAGCAGTGGCGCCTGGCTCCTTCGAAAGAACCTCCTTCAAGGACAGCCCATCTTCGAGATCGACCAGCTGCTGACGGAGCATAGCCCAAGCATTGTCACGAACAAAGAACAAACACAAACTTCACGAACAACAAAATCAAAGATGCAGGCCTTGTCAGGGGCATCGCTCTTTGGAGCAACACGTCCCTTCTGCCGGCTGGAAGCCTGGGCCCAGTCTTTCGGCACCTACAGTAAACTAAACAGTGCTGTGATCCTGTGTCCCATATGTGTCTCCCGCCTCTGTGCTTTCGTAGCGCAAGGCATTCCGCTCACACGTCAGAATCTGCGACGGAAGCTTGGAATCTTGGAAGCTTGGAGCTACAAAGAGCTGTGCACGTATGCAGACAGAGCGGTGTACATGAAGCAAAGCCCCGTAAACAAAAAAAAAGCTTGCAAAGCTTATGTCGACCCGTAAACAGGGCCATGTCGGCACTGCTTGGCCCACCTCGAGTCGCTTGTCCTTCTCCTTGGAGAGGTTTGAACAGAACGCTGGCTTTAGCTTCAAGCATTGCAGCGCAGAGCCACGTGCGGATAGGTCGCGTCATTTTTGCGTTTCAAATAATCGATCTCTTCGCGGGAAATCTCTGCCTCAGCAGGCATCTGCATTGAATGCAGTTCTGTGGCAACTTCCGACAACCCCGAGCACCTGTTCTTGCAGCTCTGTCTTGTGCTGCTCAACAAACTTCTGCAGCTGCTGCTGCCTCGCAAGCACTTCGTCTTCAATCCCGTTTTAAGAGAAGTGGGCTGTAGCTCTCTGATTTTCTCAGCGAGCAGGTTCGGAATCGGGGTCCCTACCCCCCACGCAGCTGTGCACGAACGTGGCACGATGTCCGGTGGATTGTTACAACCAAAACTTGTGTAATACTGTGCCCCCCCAAATTGGTATGTCAACTGTTGGACCTTTTATGATGTTGGAGTCTATCTCTGTCTTCTCAGCCTCTACTCACCCAAGAAACCTTCAACAGACAACCCCCAACACCCAGAACACAGGCCTGCCCACCTTGGTCCGAAGCCTCTTCTTCTGTGCTCTCTCATACAGGGGTCAAGCTGAGAGCCGCACAAGGCCTCCACCTGAAGGAAGCACAAGAGCACAGCGCTTGAATCAACGCTGCGTTGTGCTTCATGGATGCATCATGATCATGATCATGATGCATCCTGCCGCGCACCTCTTGTTGTGCCTTCTGCGTTGCGGCCTCTGTTTCCTGGCAGAAGGCAAGTGCCTTTGCGCCTCATAATTCAATGGTGGCCTTAGGCAGAGCTGTCTACGAGTGGCCTGGCTTCGATCAGCGGCCTCTGCATCAGGAGATTCCGATAGCACCTCCACAAACTGCCAGAAAGCCTGACCTCGTCCACGCAGGCGTGCGCCTGCGCCTGAAGCACGAGTGGGCTGCCCACTCCACACAACCCGCTTAGGGCGGCTTTTTGTGATTTTTTACATCCTTTTTTGTTCCCAGCCTCCTCCATCGACTGCAGCTTGGCTCTCGCCTCGCTGTCCACTGCAACGTAGAGCCAACTCTCTCTTTCTGGGGGGAAGTTTCGGGGGGCTTCTCGGGCTTGCGGCCTCCTCTGCCTGTTTGAGAGCATGGTCCCTCATCCATGTGCACCTGGAGCGTTTACTGCACAGATTTTGAAGCCAGGAAGCCCGATGAAGATGTAAACAGGATATGAAACATGATGACATGTGTACAGTTGCAACCCGGAGGCTCTTTGAGGCGATCTTCCATCCTCAGTAAAGGGGGCTTTAGTAAAGGGGCTGGGGGAGCCTTGCCCCCCCCCTGCTGCTGGAACAAACCGGAACAGCCAAGCTGAAAGCTGTAAAGCCTTTAAAGCTGTGGTCTCAAGTAGGGAAAAAGCCTTGGGCTCGGACTCGGAGAGGCGTTCCTTCACTGAGGAGAGCTCGTGGCGAAGCACATCCTGGAAAGAGTGGCACTCGATGGCCACTCCCACGGAGAAGGGAAAAAGTGTGAAAAAAGCCTCCGAGTGGCTGTCATCCCTCTGGCTGAACTCGAGCCTGATTGGGGATTCAGCCGTGAAGAAAGGAGGCAAGGTAGCTAGAGGATATCATCTCGACGGTGTCCGGATTGCATCTGTGGAGTCACATCGCCCTCAAAGCCTCAAAACGAATGGCCTGTGGCCTCGCACACCAAAACTGGTCAGTTGTTCGCATGGCTCAACCTCATCCGCTGAGCGGCTCGTTTAGCCGTAGGGACATTGCACCCACCTGTCCAAATTCTGCAAAATTGCTTCGTCAAGATTGCTTAGTCAAGCTTCGGGTGAGGGCACAAGAGTGCCTCGCGTGCAGCTTCGCCTCGGTTCATCCGTCAGCACCGCTGCGATAGTGGAGAAAATGCGGCTCCGTTCCAATCAAGCAGCTGTACGCTTGCTGGGCATGCTCCAGCTGGCCTGCCACTCAAGCCAACAAAAACACGATTAACTTACACAGAGAATGTGCTAAGCCAAAGCGCCTGAAAGCTCGACGACCCGCTCCTGTCTCGGAATGCGCTGCAGGCGAGGAGAGACAAAGAGTTCCTTTCAGCCCATTGCCCGGCGCATGCGCGATTCGTGCCTGCAACTCTTGCCGGCAATGCTCGCTCTGCTGAAGCTCATGCCGCAGCTGCATCTCGCCGTCCGCGGCGGCCCCTGAGCTCCAGATTCTGCAGATTTTGAGAGACACATCAAGACAACGGTCATGCTATGTTCATTGATTCATGGGGTCAGGCGGATGCGCTCTCCGAGCCGGCTCATCTCGTCTTCGGCCCTTGCTTTGTAGGCCTGCATGAAAGGAAGCCTCAAGTCGAACAAACCAGACACCCAGAAAACGGTTTCCTCCAACTCGCCGCGGGTCTCTTCGCTGCCCGCAGCCTTATGATGAGCTCAATTTGCTTCAAACTTCACATGAGCACGAACAAATCATGGCAACATGATGCTACAGATGCTGCCGTCGCACTGATGTTAGCCACAGCCCGTTTGCGGTCGAGGATGCCAGTACTTGATTTTAAACGATCCACTGAGCCACTTGTGATCTGATGCATGATAGACATGAAGAATTTGTGTCATTACATGGTGTCGCAATTTATGACAATATGACAAAGATTAATCCACCATCTTTGTTCATTCACATACAAAAAGATGACAACAAGATTAGTCAAGACAGCGACACCGAGCGACACCGAGCGACGGCGAGGGACGTGGAAGGCCGAGCGACGCCAAGTGACGCCGAGTGAAGCGGAGTGACGCCGAGTGACGCGGAGTGACGCCGAGCGAAGACGAGCGACGCCGAATGACGCCGAGTGTGACGTCAAGTGATGCCGAGTGACGCCGAGTGACGCCGAGTGACGCCGAGTGACACCGAGCGACGCCGAGCGACGCCGAGCGACGCCGAGTGACGCCGAGTGACGCCGAGTGACGCCGAGTGACGCGGAGTGACGCGGAGTGACGCTGAGTGACGCGGAGTGACGCCGAGAGACGCGGAGTGACGCCGAGTGACGCCGAGTGACGTCGAGTGACGTCAAGTGCGCCGAGTGACGCCGAGTGACACCGAGCGACGCCGAGCGACGCCGAGCGACGCCGAGCGACGCCGAGTGACGCCGAGTGACGCCGAGTGACGCGGAGTGACGCCGAGTGACGCGGAGTGACGCCGAGCGAAGACGAGTGACGCCGAGTGACGCCGAGTGACGCCGGGTGACGCGGAGTGACGCCGAGCGACGCTGAGCGACGCCGAGTGACGTCGAGTGACGCCGAGTGATGCCGAGTGACGCCGAGTGACGCGGAGTGACGCCGAGTGACGCGGAGTGACGCCGAGCGAAGACGAGTGACGCCGAGTGACGCCGAGTGACGTCGAGTGACGTCAAGTGACGCCGAGCGACGCCGAGCGACGCCGAGTGACGCGGAGTGACGCCGAGTGACGCCGAGCGACGCCGAGTGACGCGGAGTGACGCCGAGCGAAGACGAGTGACGCGGAGTGACGCCGAGTGACGCCGAGTGACGCGGAGTGACGCCGAGTGACGCCGACTGACGCCGAGTGACGTCGAGTGACGCCGAGTGACGCCGAGTGACGTCGAGTGACCGACCACGCGAAGACGAGCGAAGACAGGCGAAAACGAGCGATGACAGGCGAAGACGAGGACAACACTGGCATCGCTACCTCGCGTCACTCGTCTTCACTCGGTGTCGCTCGGCATCACGAGCGACCTTGAGCGACGCCGAGATCGCCGAGCGTCCGGAGCGCTTAGATTGCACGCGGTCAGTCGAGAATTGTTTGGTTCCGTCCTTCCGTCGACTACTACGGTACGACCCTACAGCGCATGGAAGTCCGCCCATGCCACACAGGATCTGCGCTCATGCTAATTCCTACCTCTGCTAGAGTGCTAGAGAAGCAGCAAACACAAAATGACGGTCCTGCGATAACAGACGGAACCAACCATTGTATGCATGCTGTCGGCAAGGTCGGATGCGTCTGGATGCACAAGGCCACAGATGCCAGATGAGTCGAAACGAGCAATGGAGCCGAGACAACTTTGGCACACTGTGGTTTGGACGTAGCCGAGTCGCTTGCACCCGCATCCGAGCCTTCAACTTTGCGAGTTCTGCGGAACTGGCAGCCGCGGCGTCTTTCCTTGGGTCATAAAAACGTCATAAAGTCATCTTAGCATGATTGATTTCAAACGGTGCAGTGCCGCCGAGCAGTGCTGACAGGTCCACCATCGTTCAACCCCTCTGGCCAGCTGAGTAGCGCATCTTTCTCCGCTTCCTGCGCCTTCGACTCGGCTTTTCTGATTCGCTCCCTCCAAGCCTCCTGCAGGCTTTCAAAGCTGCACAGCCTGCATGTGCCGCGCCCCCCCCCCCCCCGCCCCCAAAGTCGAAACATCGAAAAATCCCACGCAAGGTGAGCAGCACTGCGATGTCTTCGATCTTTTCGTATCTACTTCGGTACTGAGCCTTGTGGAGCTCTTGCTCCATATCCCGCGCCTTGCACCGAGATTCACCAGAAAACTCTCTACCCGTTCTGGCCATGAAGTGTCCAGCAGGGCCCACACTTCTTGCTTCAGCCGCCGTTCATTGACCTGCGCGAAAGCAAGCGGACTCAAAATGACTCAATGACGCTGGATTGGACACGATCAGCCGTGGCTCCCCGTTTGCATCGGCCTCCGCCTGCTCCGCCCGCTTGCGCGCGTTCTGCATCTCGCGCTCGGCCGCCCGCACGGCTTCAGTCGCCTCAACCAAATTCGGGCCCCGTGGGAACATAAAGACAATGAGCTGGAAGCTGCTAATGGACAGGCACATGGTGGCACACATGGTGTCACACATGGTGGCACACATGGTGGCACATGGTGGCACGCCTTCGTTCGCACAGTCTGCGTCTGGTCTCGACGCGCCACTTCTCGGGCTTCCATGTCAGCCAAGACGTTGGAAAGGTCTGCGAGCTGTCGCCTTAAACCATGGGCAATGGACAAACTGTATACCAAATATGCTGACATGGTCTTATCTGTAGTTTCTGGATCTTGAAGCCTGAACCAAGCCGGCCCAGCACATCTAATCAGCTCGGGCGCTCCCTCTGTTTGAGTTGGCCGTGTGCATCGTCAAGCTGTGCACGGAGCTGCAAGATTTCGTTCTGCAAGCCGGAAGACTCCTGCAGCAATTCCAGCGAGCAAGGCCGCGGCAACATTCAAGAAGATTATACTGAATATATGTAAATATACATATGTATACATACATACATGCATACATACATACATACATACATACATAAGTGCTGAATTCGTCTGACACAAAACCTTTTGTCGCAAAAGGGCCCCATCTACGCACATGTATCCAGCATATGTGTATCCTGCGCTCTGATATGTCTTGATGGTTGGTCAAGGCTGTCCTCAAGCTCCTGCGCCTTGGGGCTGGCCACGTTTGGACTCTCAAGCATAGGCGCTGGGGCCTCTAGGGCCCCTCCGGCCCCTGCGGCAGACTGGTCCTCGGAAAGGCTTTGCTGCAGAGTTTCTTCGCCTGCACATGTTCAGAAATGCTTCAGGGATGTTCAGAGAGAAAGAAAATGACCGACACTTGCAGCATTGCGGCATTTGCCACGAAGCTTTACAGCCCGAGCCTGCCACTGCCTCAGCCTGCTCGGTCGGAGCACCCTCCCTGCAGACTTCGACTGTATTTGCCATGGCATCGTCATGTTCGCGCTGCCTGAGCAGATTGTACTGAAATTACCAAAACGTGAAGCATGGGCAACGGAAGCTGAGAAATACAAGAAATAAGTACAGGGCAAGTGTTCGGCCAATCGGACAGGGCATAGCGGCATGACAAAGGCTTCAAAAGCAAGCTGAGCTGGGAAAGCTTTTGCCAAGATACGTGCTCAGTTCATGCACGATGCATCCGGCACTCTCTGCGCTCACTTCCGGCGAGGAATCTGCGCTGATTCCTGCCGGATCAGCCTTCTCAGGCTCTGCTCCAACGGCTTCTGCTTGGACTTCATGCACCGCTTCCAAGTTCGTTGTGTCCGCTGTGTCCACTTGTTCCTCGACGTCCTCTTTCGTGGGCGACCCCGCAGCTGTGTCGTCAGGCTGCTGTGCAGCCGCTTCAGCATCAGCTGCAGAGAACACCGAAACAGCAACTTCGCCTTGGCCTTCGCCTTCGGGGCACTCCGCAGACTCAGCAAACTGGACAGTTTCGCCCGGCACCGGCTGTGGAAAGTCGGCAGGAAGTTGCTGTGACTCTGACGGGTCTGGACCCGCTGCAGGATTGTGAATCTCATCAAAAGGATTCCCCTGAAAGGCGCCGTCAAGCACGTCAGAGGCGGGAGGAGCGGAAAGGCCTCCAGCTACGTCCGCCGACTCCTGCTTTGTGCAAACTACGCCGAACATGTCATGTGTGTGAAAGTCAAGTGCAGCACTCCTGTGTCGCATCGCCAACTTGTGTCTCTGCACTCGCACCTGCATGTGTTTTGCTCTTCTCAAAACACTGGGACCGGAATGCTGCGGCAGTATTCGCATCCCCGCCTGGCTCAGACTCAACAGACATGGTGTGCAGCTCCATCGGTGGCCGATCCTGGCCGGCAAAATAAACAGCTACGAAGCTTTGTCACTGTGTCCCACCTGTGCCTCTCCGGCGCTGTCCTCGCTGAAGAGGCGATGACGCTGTCCCTCCGCATTCGAAGAGTTCTCGGCCGGATTTGCTCCTTGCAATGGCGACATCTTTTATTCATGTTATGCACACTTGCGCCCTTCCTCGCGCCCATCCAAGCCATTTCTCTGCCACACCTCAGGCGTCGCAGACAAACGGAAAGGCAAGCACTAAAAAGACTCTTAGATGGCAAGTGCTTGGTACGAGGCCCTTAGATGGCTTGCACGTGTTTATGCAAGCAAGCGGAGATGCGATGCGGTCATGCAGGGTACAGCAACAAGCCTGGTGCTTTGGGTCGACTCTCAATCCAGGCGAAGGGCCATCCAACGATGACTCCAGGTCCAGTGAGGGCCCTTCTGCTTTCGGATCATCAAGCTCGGAAAGAAACTTGTACCTGAAGCCAACACACCAGAGCAAGGTCAGGACTATAAAGTCCGAAGCGTCTGAAGGTGGGACCCCTTGCTCAGCAGGTCCATGCTGGCAGTGCATAGAAAGCCGCACACGTCACTGACTATGAGCCAATCTTTTCTTGCTCAGGAAATGACTTAGTTGGAAGCTGACAGTCAAGCAGGAAGCAACTTAGCTTGCAAATACTAGTGGACACTTCGCTCTCTGGCGAATTCCACACTTGAGCTCCTACGCTGTTCTGTGCTTGGGCAAATGGTGAGAAACTGGGAAGCCACACCAAGATTTGTTGAGAGTTCAGCTTAGTCCGGCTTGATCCAGGCAGCGGTGTTGCAGTGTTGCCAGGATTGGGCTGGATATGCCTGGACAGAGCCTTGCCCTTTCATGCCCCTTCGATCCACAGCTTACCTGCTTTCAGATCTTTTCCATGTACCCGCACGTGCCCGCATGTTGACTGCTGCACTCTGCACTCATGACATGGCCAAGCAGTTGCCACGTACAGAGACCCGGGAGTAAGTCCCAGCAAAGTGTCAGAGGCAATGGCATACACAGAGCGAGTCGCAACAGAGTTGCGTTAAGGCAACAGCTCTTGCAAGTCAGATGTTCTAGTCGTCCTTCTCCTTCCTCAGAGGGTCTCTGGAGCTTCGGCTGCCATGTGCTGGCATGTGATGCCATCTCTCACAGCAAAATGCGATAGAGTGCGCGCGATAGCGTCAGAGCTTTGCAGACGAGTCTCGATCTACACCAGAGCACAATGGCTCCAACTATGACGGCCTCAGGCCGACAAATGCATGGTAACATCACACAAAGACGCGACAAATCAGAGGCTGCGGCGGTGACACCCCACTTTAACGGAGTGTCAAAGCGCAAGGCATCCCAGGCTGTGATGATGTCGACATCCTGCCAAGCACCGACGGCAGGATGGTCATTCGATATCCTTTGGTTCTGCAGCGCAGAGGACGCCTCCAAATCCCGGGGCTTCAAATCACCACCAGGCGTCACCGTCAACCAAGGAACACGGTAGGTCGGGGACTTTCTAAGCCTCGCTGAGATCAGCGATGGATCCGACACGATCAAGGTCCAGCGCCAGAAGCTGAGGAACTCGCTTTGTTCTAGCATAAATGATCGGTGAATTCGCATCTTCATCTCGCATCTCGGTCAAATACCTTTGGCCACGACATGAGAGAGAGAGAGAGAGCCTGAAGCAAAAATTCGAACTAGATGTGACAGGGCTTCGCGCCAGCTGTATCTTTTGCCGTCGAGCGAGGCATGTACCAAAGCCAGCTTCACCTGCACGCATGGTGATTTCTTGATTCTCGGCTGGGGATAAGCGGACAGCTCTGCTCTTGACAAAAGCAGCAAATGCTGCCTCTTTTGCTGTCGTATTGTAAGCGCTGCAGCCAAGAGTGCAGCTGAAGACCATTGTCTGGCCGGCACAGTCCCAACAGTTCCAGACATCACGTCTCGCTTTCCTGCACTCCCTCCACTGCTCCCACCTTTTCGCGCTGCTCCCAGGGAACGAAGCGATCGAAGCTTTTGTGGTAAAAGAGTGGCTCAAACCTTGCTGAACCAACTTTGCCGGAACTTTGCCGATACTGCGCATCACCAGTGTGGTCGACAAGCTGAAGCTGCTGGCTGGTAGAACCCATTGAACTGGGAAGCCTCGCACACACGCCACGCCAATGTCAATGATGCAAGAGCTGCCGTGACAAATACCCGATCGAACCCTGACCAACGAGCGGCCAACCTGAAACCCACAATACCCAGACACGGAGATCTGCCATGGAAAAACTGGCACTCACCAGGGGACTACCAGCAGGAGAGTCCGAGAACATCCCGAGAACGTCCGAGAACGTCCGAGAACCGTGAGCCGATCCGGCAAACTTTTATAAACCCTCACATGCCTCTGCCGCGGTGATGCCAGGTAGCGTGTTGTTGTCAAAGGATATCCTGGCTCTCACCGCAAGGTGCACGGGTTCTGCAGCACCCTGGATCCTTAAGCAGGCTGGCAGTACGGGTCAATATCTGCATTCCCAAAACCTCGCAAGATCACTACCTGCGAAGGAGCTGTGTCTCACCGGGTCAAGTCAAACAGGCTCAGCATCGCAACTGGCAGAGAGGGACTGTTTTGCTGCTGCCAGCTCTTGCACATACAGCGTTTGTACGTACGAGGCCCTTGTGCGCCCCCGAATTCGTCCGGGAATTGCGAGAGGCAGCGGCTCAAAGAGGATGGCACATGTCTGTTAGGTAGCCTCCCTTCATGACATCCTTCGAGCGCTGGACCTTGCCACTCCGGGGTGCTGTTGCTGGTGACACACGCGCAGCAGAACTGACCACTGTGCCCATGTCCCAATGGCATGGCAAGACAGGAAATGCCATGTGCCGCTTTTTATGTTGCTTTCAGGTCCTGACAGAGAACTTGTACTGAGTACCGCTGCCAAACCAACAAGGCATCCAAGCTGATTCTACTGGGTGGGCGCCATGGGTACATAACCCTGTCAAACAGCACGTTTCCAGAAAAATTGCGTTCCACGCCACACGACAAAACGGTACATCAAACAACCTCAAGCACGAAGTAGCGCTTTTTGAGCCCCCATCCCCGAGTGCTCGCCTGTCAGCTGCGTGCTACTTTTTAGAGAAGGCACCCAGAAGCGTGTAACACCTTGCCGGAGGCAAACCGAAATCGGATATCTGGGTAAGAAGCCGATCAGGACACTGTTAGCAACTGGCAAAGCAGCAGAAATGACACCGCCCTGGGCCCATGGAGCGCACAGCGATCTCCTGGCGCAGCTATGATAAGAGGTGAAACTGCTCCGCCGGCTCCGCTGGTTCGGTCTTGTCCTCATAGGACGGTCTGGGAACAAGATGCCATCGGGACACTCAACGCCCTGCAGTCCTCCAAGCAGCTTCATCTGAAATGACCTGCACACCCCCACCCCCTTAGAGGGGGGGGATGCTGACATTGTAATTTACATTTTGGGCCCCCCGTGATTTTGCGGCACTCCTCGGGCGCCAGTTATGCAAAATTGTAAAGTAAAAGCGTTTACAATTATGCGCCCCCTCCCCACATTTTACATTTTTAAGGGGGTGGGGGTACCTGCACAAAGTCAGGCAATCGTCCAATTTCCGACAGGAGTGGCGATCATGAGAACACTTGCGGGCCTACTCCGTCAGGGTCCAGGGTGTGAGCCTCCAAGCTAACAGCAGCTAACAACGTCAAGTGCCTCAAGCACGGCGGCCTTGCTCTGTCTGACTAAGGCCACGGCTGGACTGAGCGTAGAAAAGCTGATTCCTCCACAGGACGAAGGGATTTGTTCACAATCATTGGCAAACACGGAGGTGAGTGGACGATGCGGGCTTCCAGATCTGCCAGATCCCAAGATGTTGCCAGGTGTTCATTGTTCATCCTCTAGTTATCCATCGGCCTAAGATGTCGCCTGATTGTTCCACACACTGTTTGTGTATGTGTGCCGGGAGATACTCCGGCATTCTCCTCGCACGCGCGTCTCTTGTACTCCTTGTCCGGGTCTCCTACCCCAAAGAATCCTGCCCATTAGGTGTGGAGTGCCCGCCCCAGGGCATCCTGCAGAGCATCCCTGAAGTACCCGCCCCTGGAGCGGACAATTCTGCGAATCCAACAGAGAATCCGGCAGAGGTACATCACAAACCCCTGGGTTTTCGGTGGGGCGTTCGAAGTGAAGATTTTTCGATCTACACCTAGTCTTCAAATCAGATGCTACGCTGCCACACCGCTGAGCGCGACGTTATCCTCAGGATGTGCCTCTTCTTGCTCATGCTCATTCTCCTCCTGCATCCTGCGCATCCCCAAGTAAACTCGATATCATTTTTTCAGGGAGCTCTTTGGGGAAGCTCTTCGCGAGTGCAGCAACGAGGCTGTAAAAGTATGGTATGCTTGGATTTGTCCGCACCAAAACACTTTGTCATTGCAAAGTCGCTGCCTCTTGTGTATCGGGCTGGAATCATGCGAGATGCGGTCAGCTGCTACAGTACCTCTGAATGCCTCACATGTCAGTTTCACCATCGTTTCAAAGAAACTTTTGGCACCTCTAAATTCTAAACTCTACTCTGAATCCCGATAAGTAAACCTCAGGAAGAGCTAGCTTCATCCATCACGCATTTCGCTGAAGAATCACTGTCACTGCTAACTCGGCAAAACCCTCCAATCTCTATAACCCTTCGAGGCGGCTCGAGTGCTTCGATGTGTTTGTGCAGAGCACGCTCTGATCCAAGAGAGGCATCATCGTCTTCGGGCTTTTCAGGTTCCGGTGCAGAAGAACAGCAAGATCAGCAAGCGAACAGAGACAGACGGCCTTGCCTGCATGACCATAACCATCACAAGCCATGGTGGCTCGCCTGCCAGCTTTCTTGGACCCGTGGACATTCAACGCACATCAGATTCCCTCGAGCCTTGCAGGGGACGTGGGAGTCTCATCGAGCATATCAAGCTCAAGATACAGGAGGTCATAGTGACCTGGCCTTGTCGTGAAGCGAAGCTTTCAAAGCAGAGCAGACTACGCGGACTCGCACGTCCAGGGGCGTTGCCGCAGCTGCACGTGGATCACAAAGTCGAGCTCTTCGACTGGCTGCTGTCCTAGCAGCTGATGGAGGAGGCTGGCACAGAAGCCCCAAAGGACATGCCCTGTCTGTCCTTCGCGCACAGGTGGCGTGTAGTCTTCGAACACAAGTCCAGACTGCTCGCTCCTCCCGAAGACCCCAGCACTTGCCCAGCCTTCCCGACTGCACCACTCATTTTGTGACGTAAACAAGCATAAACAAACATAAACACAAGTCCAGTCTCCTGTGGAGCAGCGCCAACCGAAGCTTCACGTCCAAAGCAGCAACCACCGCATTCATCACCACCTCTGCACACACAAAAGTAACACCCTGCTGAGATGCATTGAAAAAGGGCCATGGCACGCACGAGACAGGAAAAGTGCTACTGCCATTAAGAAATTAAGGACTCGCTTTCGCTTAGTCTACCAGGGCATCGGAAACCTGACAAAGATTCTCTCTAAGGAGATCACGGACTCCGCTTCGACATGCATAGGAAGCACTACCTGATGTTGGCAGCGATGCAAGTGCAAATGTGGGCTCCCATGTGACGGCGCCTTGTCACAGAAGTCCTCGGGAGTGCCCAGTCCTGGAGATCTGCAACGAGCTTCAAGACACCAGTTGTGGTTCAGCAAGCCATAGCAAGCCATGGGGTGCGAGTTCCGCGTCTTTTTTTTTCCGTCAAGATGCTGGCCAAACACCCACATCCTGGGGCAGACGCGCGCTCTACACGTAGACAGCCTCGGCGACAGGCGTCAGCATAAACATACGCGAGTCATGCGAGGGCACTGCTTGGGCAGTGAAGTTGTCCTCATGATCTCCCAAGTCTTTGTGTATGTACAGGCAACGAACCTTGCACTTTTGGCAAGTCAGGCCTGGGACATCGCTGAACTTCAGTATCAAGTCGTGCGCCGACTTGTCATGATTCATCAGGAGCACCGCAATCTTTCCATCGCCCACGGGCTTGTAGAAAAACTGCCATTGCGGTGTCCTGCCCCAATGGGGCACAACAACGCCTTGCAGCAGCATGTTGAAGTCCTTCACAAAGAACGTCCCTTTTTCAGACCATGAACCCCAAACAATGCTTAGACGTGGCACAAAACCCTTTAGGGCCCTATAGCCCATACAAGAATCAGAGAGACCCAAAGGTCCTCCAGCTCCACATGAGAGCGGGCCTGCTTGAATGGGCTTCCGCTATGGCCCGCGTACGCCTGATTGACGGCGATGATTTCCTTGTTGGAGACAATGTCCCAAACCTCGTCCATGATGGTGTCGTTGTTCACATCCATCGAGAGCGTCAGAGGCGCAGAGACAATCGCCCATGCACTGAAGTGACTCCTAGCCTCGTGGTAGCTGAGGCCAGGGTCGCTCGCGCCACCCGGGCCGTGCTTGCAGCCAACCTAGCGATGTTGGGGGGCTCTAGGGTTGCAGTTTTTCCGGATACAGGCTTGAGATGGCTTGAGTCTAAAGATCCTGCGGGCTCGATCTGTTGTCTCGTTTTTGGGGTCCAAGCAACTTCCAGCATGTCTGGGTATGCCCAGCATCCGGGCCTCAGGAGTCAACACGCACTGAGCTGGGAAGCTACGGTTGGCACCTCTTTTGGCATCTGCTACTCACGGTCATATTAGATAGTTCGTAACCTCGTAACGGTTCGTACTTCAGCTAAGAGTGCATGGGCAGGCCGGGCCTGGACAAGTTCTTCTGGGCCCATTGAACTGTGGTCTGGAGGTTGCCCACGACACTGCCATATGATGCCCGCACATCCCCAGATGTCCGGAAGAAATTCCATGGGCACCAGGTCTCCGTAGGCACTGTCATGCCCCAGTGGCAATTCTCGATCATCACTGCTCGTCCGGTCTCGTTGATGAGGCTTGCCCACTTGTCCAGATCCATCTGTCGGCCACAGCCGTCCAGCTTTATTCCATCGAAACCAAACGCGGTCAAGGCCGCAACGTCCTCGTGGTACATGTTGTCCGTGACCCAAATCTCGCGGCAGATGCAGTTGTTCCCATACCAGCCGGCTGAGAGGCCCAACTTGTGCGCATGATCCGTCATGGCCGTCATGTTCGGAAAGCGCGTCAGCTGCACAATAGGTTTTCCCGAGTCGTCGTGATAGGAGTACTTATGACCTGCATGGCAGTCCTGCCAGTTGTCATCCAAGCCCACATCACAATAGCCCAGGTCACAAAGCGAGGTGGGAACTCCGTCCACAGAGCGCTTTTTGGAAACCATGCCATCCATGATCTCTTGCATCAAGGTCTGGTTGACATTTGCCCCAAATAAGTTCCAGGAGCGCCACCCCATGGGCGGAGTGCGGCCAAGCCCATTGTCAATTGATTGCACCGATGGAAATGCCGCAGCAGCGAGGATGAAAAGAGCCCGAGCCATCGCTCGGTGGGGATGATGGTGTAGGAAGGCCCTAAGGCACTGGCATCACTTCGCGCCCCAAGCATTCGGAAGCAGCCTCTCAGTCGTTCACATTGC